AATTTTTCTTCTTTACTCCGATAAACGAGGACTTAATTTTTAACTGCTCAGCCGCACAGTTAAACGTGAGATCATTCCATTTTTTTACTATAATTCGCACGACCTAACCTCATTCACATCATCCATGTATGACGGCTCGATCGTAGGAAGTCTAAAATAATATTCTTTATGCGTGATGCTCATGTGGCATGTTAATTATATTATATTGCGCCAAGAAATTTTGCATCCTTTGAAAGAAAAAAAAACGTTTAGTCTTAATCAATAAATATAGTTATAATTAGCTTATCATAATCAACCATTATTAAAATTGTTTAACTTTTTTGTTTTATCAGAATAAAAAAAACTAAATTATGTAGAAATTTAATTTAAACTCGTGAATGGAAACATAAGTTGTCCTGAACTCGGAACAGTGTAGAACTAGGTCAACTACTTTTTTTAAAATTTTTTTATCAAAAACGAATTATGCTTTACCTTCTATATAAATATAATTATGTCATTAAAGCTAATGAAATAAAATTGTAATGAAAATCACTTGCACGGACATAATATGCACAACTGCAGTACCTACACATGGTATTAATATTTTATACCCATGTGTAACTACTAACTACCTATACGAAATTATAATGTATAATATAGTCTATATATTACTTGTATGTATATTGTCTGTTAATATTCATGTACTTCTTCGTTTGTACGGTATAAATTATAATGTTAGCCTTATCAGTCTTGTGTATTGGTATAGTTACCAAATACTTGTTGATATCATTAGCACATAATCAGAAGCGGTCTGTATTAAGTTAACGATCATAAAGTTAATAATAGCGTTTTCCACCACATTGCACTGACTGCACCAGTGTATATTTTTATGTTCCATCGGCGAGATTAATGTGCACTGAGTGGACATTTTTATATTTTTCATCTCAATGCACTACGCCAGTTTTTTGCACCCAGTGCAAACTCTTGGAGCTCGTGCGCCTTATCATTATCATGCTAAGTACTAAAATGCCCATTATAAACATTTTATTATCTTTATATATCAGTGATAAGTATAGATTTTATGTTTCATCTACACTTGCACTAGTGAACACAGTCTACAGTGAACTGTAACTACTAGTGCCACTTTTGTGCAATAGTGCGGTATGGTGGAAAACGCTATTAGATATATTTATATAATGATTGTGAAAAATCTGACTGTTCCTGCTGACTATATGGTGGTATAATATCGGTATGTGGTATAGAGTATAGACCACGGTTATAGATAAACCTTTAAGGCGGATTTCCACTATACACGTTCGCGCTAATCCTTCGCTATGATTGGTTGGTTGGGTTAGATTACCGAATGATTAACCACGTTACCGTGTTGTGGGACATGGCTGAATATTTTACGTGTACACGGCACACGTAGGTATATAGTGGAGACCCACCTTTAGATAATAATATAGACGATGGACGGTAATCAATTAAAATTGCACTACTGAAATATAAATTAGAAATTAGAAAATTTAGGTTATTATTTATGTGTATATATGAGCGACTAAGTCGCACAACTGTGTAGGGCATTCAGGTATAATATTTTAGTATTATACACTCGAGTATAGAGTATGTATTATGGTATTACTGTTGTAGCAATRTGTAAAAATGTATAATATAATATCATTTCATTATGAAATATAATGGTGGTCGGTTAAGGAACTGAGCAACACTCGATTGCGTATTCGTGCGTAATGTCATCTATTATATATAACAAGCATAAATCTAACACGATTCGTTGATGATACAATTAAATATAATAATATACCGACAGCGGTGATTCAACCTTTATTTTATCTATATATGATATTAATATTATAATGTTTGGGTTTGGTTGGTAAATAATAATATTATAAACTATAATAGCAGCTTTGTGTTAACGACTTTACGTAACACTTATCAACAGTAATAATAGTATACGGTTATCATTATTATTTTTATCACTCGCAATATTTATTATTATGATTTTAATGGTCGCGGCGCCGCAGAAGCTGAAAAATAAGACCGTTTCGCGACGGTTTGATTTCACAGCGCGAATCGTTCGTCTCTCCTGCTGTGCGTTTTCCGCGTATCTATACACCAAGACCATCGTGTATACATATTATACAATACACGTGTAGGCTGCTCGCGAGGTTATTCGCACGAAATTGCGTACGTAGGAATGCGATGGTTTTTCGTCCGAGAACAAAAGCGACTGTTCGGGTTATATTATTCATTTTTTTATTCGCAGACTATTTTTTAACAATTCTACCTAGCTAGGTACACTGTATTAAACACGTCATATACTCTGAAAGCACAAGTTTAATCCAAGAGGTGTGTTACGTATATAATATATTATCATCATATGATATAACAATAGTAATAATATGATGTACAATAGGTACATCACAAGAAAACACAAAAACTTCCATTAATAGAATGCTAATCGGACGCGCTTCAATAACCCACCGATATCTGATGAAAGGAGAAGATACCTCCCCTCCTTACAAATCGTAATTGAACGTCTTACATTCTAAACGGAGAGACGAGAAGCTCTGGGATATCCAACATAGTTCTGTCAGAATAGTTCTCCACCCGGACAGCTTAAAATTCTTGCGATAAAATGTATTATCAAGTCTAATTTAGTTAATCGTTTGAAATTTGTACATGTTCCCAATGTCAATTAAGTTTAAGTATATGTTAATTCAATTCAGCCAATGGCCATAGTCGCCGAGACTTTTTTAATAATTAAAAAAAGATATTGCAATGTAATGTATACGAATTTGTCGAACGAACAAAATTCAACCGGTTACGCGTGTACACAACAAATAAAATGGTATATAATTTTATTATCTTATTTTATATTATATTATAATATGTATTCGTTTGTATTTATATTACAAGATTATATGTATAGTAACCGGTCTTGTACGGTTATACATATGTATTTAAAAAAATTGCTAAATAACACATAGTTGTGTAAAAATAATTAATTTAATGCATTGTACATAGAGTTTTAGAAATTTCAGGGTCGGCAACTATAGATTTATTATTTATTATTTAATATAATACATTATATGCCTATAAAATGCTAATCATAATGGTTATAAGAAATGAATCAATGTTCCATCAATATACCTCAATATATACGTCGGGTGGATAATACGAATACTCGACACATTGTTTGTGTTTGCAACTGATTTATTTATTCTCGCATTCACATATTATAATATACTTATATACCTAAATAATTGAGTTGCAGATCTTTTATATTGTGTCGTTGTATTTTCCCAGATCGAAACAGGTCTCCAGGGGTGTGTTCCATACGTATAATACATATTATTATGTGAATATTGTGTAGGTGTTACGTGTAATTTCGTCCCACAGTTGATCCATTATAAAATAGAATAAACAATTCTTATTTCATTTTGGATTCTAAACGGAGCGAAGAATGTATTGGTTTTACAATTATGTGTGCTTTATAATGTGTCTGGAGACACTTTTTCTAGTGGAAAATCATTTTCTCTGATCACTAATTTCGATCATCAAGTGTTCTTATATAGCAAATTACATTTTGTCGGACTTTTAGTATATTAAAATTAAATATTCTCAGCACTTTTTAAAATATACGGGAAATAACATGAATAGATTGTTAACCTTGCTGGTAACCAAAAAGATCATTTTAAATTGTCTTCGCTTAGAATGATTTTTTCACATATTCAAAGATTTATCATTGAATTTAAATTCTACACATAAATTACTAAGCAGTTATTCGTTTCCGCAAAAGGGATATTTTTTTTTCTGTTAAATCTAGATGGTTAATCATAATTCTTTGGTAGGTACATATTATACATATTTTTTTGAAATTTGAGTGCTTACCTAAAAACTAGCTATACATTCGACTCCTATTGTACAATAGTTCAGCGATTATCTACTTTTTTTATCATTTTGGACCTTGAGATTCAAATTAATGGACAAACAAAAAATACGTAATAAATCTGTACAATAACATAATTTATATGCATAAGCGCGATTCTGTAATTGTATGAAAGAATTAAAATCTTCAAATACTTATCTAGCTATAGATATATTATACTATTATGTTGCGGMGTGTATTAATACAGCCGTATAATGTTGTTTTTAGGTTTCTAAACATATGTTAATAACACCTTTAGTCCGTCCGCCTGTTAGTTGCCTGCAGTACATAATTTCAATTGGTTTATATTGAGATATTTATTGAGTAGTTATAGAATAGTTAGATCCATAATGGCCAAAGGTTAGGTTATTACCGATTATTAAAATATCGGTAGTAAAATATAAAAGGTCACAGGCAAATTCTTTTTAAACTGTAATAATTCATTTTAAAAACTGTGACTAAAATCAAATAAATTTAATGCGTTATGTTAAAATATGATTAGAAATCGAAAATTTAGCACGCTCGCAGGGCGAACTTTCTTGATTTGTAATTTGTTCAAGTCTCTGTACCTATATAGATATTATGCAACTACATATATATATATATATATTGTACAATTCACGATATTTTTTACGGTTCTTAGAAAATAATAGGAACACGGAATGTTAATATATATTATCCAAACTAGTTGTATCGAAATTAGACATTAGTCGTGTGTCGGTTGAAGTATCAAGTATAATTATTACCGTAATCACAATACCTAATAATTTATTCCATTATACGATGGTCGTGACCTTGATATTCGCTTGACTTACTCGCCGCGGACAACGTGTGTCGACTCTCGTGCAAATACATCCAAGCCAGAATTTTAAATTATAAAATATGCATATTAAAAATAATGTTCAAACTTTCATAACTTTTTTCCTTTTTTTGTTTCAGAGCGTACGAGATGTCGCAGGAGTCTCAGAGTCCGCTAGGCCAATGGAGCAATAAATACAGTTCCGTTTTGGCCACACTTGGCTGTACTTTGGGAGCCTTCAACATCAGTCGGTTCGCCATACTTGCAGTACAATTTGGAGGTTAGTGTGTTCACGCATATTATTTATATTATGATCGCAACGAATTTCATACTGACATTACTCGTATATCATTGAATGATGATTATATACTGTATAGGTAATAGATATACTATAATATATAGGTATATTTTATATTGTGACTGTGGTAACATAATATTATTATTAAGTATAAAGTATAAATATACCGAAAGATCGACACTCAGTGAAGTGTTTTAAAATATATCTTTGTAGAATTTTAAGTTGTTAATAAACATTATTCTAAAAATAAATTGCTAGTCCACTACTCTGCCCTAAACTTTAAACACTAATAAACTATTTGTTTAAAATTCGATTTTTATAGATAAAAATTATGCCTATTCCAAAAAAAAATGTTTAATTATACTTTTAAATTATGAAATTCAAATAGTAAAATTGTAAAAAATAATTTTTTCCTGAAAAATGCTGTTTCGAAATGATTTGAAACTATCTAAAATAAATAATTTCAAGAACGTTGGTCCTTTCTAAAATATTGAGTGACTTAAGTTGAATGGAATCACTCCGTACAGTCATTTGAAGACCTCCGGGTGCGTTGTTAGTCGTCGTTATGTGGTTCTTGATAACTAACGATACAAATAATATATTTTTATAAGATATAGGATTACACTGATATAATACCTACGAGGTGTTTCATTTAAATAGGATTTGAAAGAAATAGATTATGTTCTTTATCGAAAAAAATAAAAATCTTATGTAAATCAAAGTACCTAAATATAAATCACTACATTTTTACAAAAAAAAAAAAATGTTATTAATCACCATTATTTCATTTTAAATTTTAAATTTCATATTAAGAAATGGAACTTTTTACGTCCTTACATTGAATATTGAGCTAGTACTACTATTGATAGTGTTTTTTTTCTGTCATACGCTTAAAATTGATATATAAATTAACGRAGTACAATGGCCCATACCAAGGCCTGATTAACCAATAGGCTAAATAGGCTACAGCCTAGGGCGCCAAATCGGTCAACGTCAAATTTGGGGTGCCACAAAATAATTTTGAGATAAAAATCAACCCTAGCCTACTGGCGACCAACTCCTTAATCAGGCCCTGGCCCATACACAGTTACACCTCAAAATGTGAGATCTACTAATTCATTCGTTTAAATTTTAAATGGTTATAGATATAGTTGCATAGTTCTAAAATAATTACTTATTTAATATRAAATTCAGTGTTMATKTWTWMAAATTATGTTTTGTCGATGATATTGTATACCATTACAAATTACTAAATTTTCATTTAATTTTTATAATAAGTGTTTAAAACTATCCGCATCAATGTTTTTTCAAAAAAAATACAAAAATCGATTTATAATATAATTATGATGTGGGGAAATTTAAATATATTATAATATATGGATACATGATTTGAGATGATTTTTCATCCAGTGTTTTGTTTTCCTTTTCTTTTACAGCCAACTTTATACTACAGTTCCTAGTGTTATCGTTGCTAGTCGGCATACCTCTGTTTACGTTTCACAGTTCGCTCGGCCAATTACTAGGCGCGGGGGTCATGGACATGTGGAGGATATCACCGATATTCAAGGTAAGTCCGTTTTATCCACGCAACGGGATAGCTTGAACAATAATAACATAATATTATGCACCTGAGGCGCGCAGGTTTCCTTAAAACGACGAATAAGTACCTAACGTTTTGTCCGCCATTWTAGACGTAAACGCGGGTCTTAGACGTATCGACGCCACCGCAGTGYATATTATGTGTTATTACTTATTTATAAATATTCTATTATTTACGGACATCTTATATTATATGCATCTGATTACAGGGGATCGGCATCGCACTGCTCCTGGCCCAGGCGTTCATCGGCACATATACCGTGATCGGCATCTCGTGGATGTTCACATATTTTCGCGATTCGTTCATCACGAAACAAGACGTTTACCGTTGGGCAGAACCGATCGAAGAGTACAAAGAAGGTACCTATCTATATAGAAACGAATTTATTCTAACCATAGGTATAAAAGTTACTTACATATACGTTTTGTATGTATAATATTAGATATAATAAGTATAGTCATCATCGCCGCACAATATTATTATTGTGTTGCGTGTAATTATTACAGTCATATATATATATATATATTATATTACTATATAATGTAATTATAGTTAGAACGTAACGGTGACTTAGATAATAATCGTTTTGTCTTTTGTATATAATGTAATATTATRTATTATTGCAGACGGCATGCCYTGGACTTTGTCTACAAATGTCAGCTACAACATCGAAGAGACGGTACCTGGTTACTTTAATGKCATAGTTCTGMAGAGAAAGTACTTGGAAAAACTCGAGATGAACGACAATTCGTTAAAGTTGCCTGTAGTCATCAACCTGACGATCATATGGACAATCGTGTTCATATGCTTAAGTAAAGGTAATCGTATATTGGTTTCAATTTGATTGTCGTAAAATATATTTTTTTAAATACCGTTTTTTAATTTGCATAGGTCTGAAATCGTACAGTAAGGTGATATGCATATTCTCGCTGGTACCAGTTTTCGGTATGTTCATGTTGTGCACGAAAATGTTGGGGTTAGCGCCAATGATTGGGTTCCAGCATCACGATATTTTCCCCGAAACGGATTGGAGCGAGTTTTTTCTTAATACCAAGGTAACATTTTATTCACATACAAAGTGACTTTTTATAATATGAACTCGAATTTCAGTGGGAAAAATGGAATTTATTATTTTRTGTTATAATCGTTATTTTGACATTTCAGAGTTGGGTAGCGGCGTTCACTGAGACGTTTCTCACGTGGGGCATACTCGGAGCGTGCACAATGCAAATCACTTCGCACAATCGGCCGAAACATTTGCTACACAGAGACGCTTCGTTAGTGATCATCCTAACTATAGCCGTACTCGTATTGGCCGCGTTTTTAGCCAACACGTGCGTACATCTGCTCGAAGCCCACGGATACATGTACCTGCCCAGTTCTTTCGGTAAGTTTTTGGCCTTTTTCTACTACTACACGCCCCTCTCATCGCC